AGAAACATGTTATGACGTTTCGGTCCGACATGGACCGAAACGTCGTCATAAGTTTCTTTCTCCTATGTATGGGTTATTTGTGTATTGTTCCAGTCTCGGCATTGTGAATTTTATTCGTCAAACCTAACTTAGAATTAGAGAAAATAGGATTTGAAAACAACATAAAAATGAAGGAACGGTGCAGTAGGCCTGTTGGCCCATGCTAGGCAGGTCTAATTCACACCACTCATATACCCTCCCAGTCTATGTTTAATTAATGATACCCATAGTTTCTCGCCCTAATGACGCTACTTATCTACAGCTCTCTTGTTAAAACAGTCGTTCCTAAATTTAAATTTATCCAACTTGAATTCATTGCTGCGAGTCCTGTCTTAGATACTTTCTCTATGTTTATTCATATTTTCCATTTCTGCACTTCAGTTGTATCCTTCCCTAATTCCAAGTCTTTTCATAAAGGGCAAATTGAGAGCGTTGTGTCAGTATTCGTAGGAACGATTCCTGATACCGGATAACAACTTCCTTATTATTCTCTGTTATTTTACAGCACATGTCCATTCTGTAAAATGGAGACCAGAACTGAGCAGCACAATCTAAATGATGGCTTGCCAAAGATAAATGAAGGATAACTAGGATTTTTATTATTTGTACTTATTAATATGAAGCCAAAAATCCTATTAGTTTTATTGCGAACATTTATGCAACTTGTCTTGGATTTAAATTTCTGTTAATCAGAACTCCCATTTTTTCCACAATCTGTATTATTTAGCTTATAAGTACTATTATTATCGTTTTTTCCTAGGATTTGAACCTTACATTTGTCCCTTTGAACTGCATCTGCCACTTCTCCGACCCAACATCAGCAGGCTATCCTGTAACTTTCTAGTGTTCTCATTAGAAATTATTTAACAACTTGTTTTAGTGTCATCGGCAAACTTGTGTGGTCATTGCTTCATCTGTGTGTATAGTGAACAAGGGGTCCTAGTACTGACACCTGAGGAACACCATTTGTAACGGGTTCCCATTTTCGCTTATCCCCTCATTTATGCAGACTCCTGTTGGCCAACCATGACTCGACCCAAGAGAGAATTTCTCCAGACTATGTGCCGCTACTTTCTTCATCAGTCTAAAGTGTGAAATATCAAAGGCCTTACTGGAGTCCATATTGTATTCTTTATCTTAGTCTTCTGCCTCAAACACCTGAGGCTAGGTAGCATTCTTGCATCATGAGTGATACTCATGCAGAATTGAACTTTTCTAGTGCTTCCCAGCAACCAGTTAAGTTGTGTATGGTGAATAAATGCCCATAAATATGTGAGGAAGACACAAAAGCGGTATTTAGGACATTTATTAAGGAAACCTTTTGCTCACGGGAAGATAGCTTGTTGTAAACACCTACATGAAAAAGTTTAACCCGCTAGTGCGATAACCTGGCCTGCAAGTACTTAATATACCAAAAGGTACATGATAAGCTTAGTTCTCCTCTCAGGACAAGATTTTATCAATTTAAATGAGTTGTTTGTGAATACAAATTGCTTCGGCTACGACAGTGTGCTATGGTGTGGCAGTGGGTTGACCCTCAGTCCAGTTCTTGTTAGTTTGTTCCTGAAATGTGTGGAGAGAGAACTGTAACGGCACCCCCATTAACGTAACGTGGTCACATTACATCAACCCTCGTACTTATCAACACCCCAAGACGGATGGACATGGAGATCAACGTGAAAACTTAATATTCCAATTATTATTATTATTATTATTATTATTATCATTATTATTATTATTATTATTATTATTATTATTATTATTATTATTTTTTATTATTAAAAAATAAAAGCTGAACCCTTACGAGTCATACTGTGCAATCACCCACTTAATTTAGAAGATGAAATGGCAGTAATCCTCTAGTCACCGGGCCTTGGGGGCGTTGACCCCTAAAACCCTCTCCAGGTATTCTTTTGTTTTTGCTCTCTCACACGAACACACACACACACACACACACACACACACACACACACACACACACACACACACACACACACACACACACACACACACACACACACACACACACAATCAGTTAGCACAGTTACCCTGATAAACTGGTATTGCAGTGTAAGGCAACAAGCCATTATGAACTTGTTCATCCATATGCATTTTACCCTGCGGGATCACTCACATTGATAGTGGGGGAGGTGGTGGGTGAATGAGGGGTAGTATTGTGTAATCACCCAGCTGTACTCACCCACTTATGTTTGTGGGGGTCGTGTCACAGCGCCTCTAAAGCTGGTTTGACTCGCATTAACTAAATTATGGTCTCCATGGGTCTGTGATACTCGCTCTTGATGCTGTAACAGGAGGGTTCTCTCCACTACTTACTCATTTTTATCTCATTCCACTTTTCTATCAACCTACCCTCTAGAAAAACACCTACCCCCAGCCCTTGCCCTGTTTCAAGAAAGCCCTGCCAATAAATTTAATCTGAGAATCCCCAGCAGAAACATCCTTGCCTTTTCTAGTGACTTAGTGTTGTCTTGATGGCCGAAACATCTGTCCAGCAATACAACCAAAGAATTGGTATTTTCGACAGCATTTTCTTCAAACTTTTTTTTTTCATCTTCAATTTTAATCCTTTTTTTTAGACCAGCTTATGCTCGTTGAAGCTGGTATCATTTCTCTTGTTCCGAGGATAAATGTTCTTGTTCTCTCTAAGAAGCTAGATCACCTTCTCAGCTTCCTCCTACCTCCCCTTTCCTTCACCCGAAGGTACAGCTGCTCAAAACTCAGGGAAGACATCCAAAACACTTCACTTGAATAAGTACTAAGACAAGTCAACTCACACACAGTGGTTCCTAGTATTAGCGTCCTCACGACCTGCTCTCAGACCTGGCCTTCTAAATTACAAAATAAATATGACATGACTAAGAAATAATAAGGAACGCGGGGAAATAATGTTGAAAGGGTCGTCTCCCAGGCGTCAGCATTTGCAAACTACACAAGCAGTAGGTGTTTGTCCAGTTGTATGACTCCAGTGTATTGGAGTGGCAGGATTGCTAGCATATGGGATTTAAGGACACTTTTAAATGTAAAATATTTTTCTAAAGACGTTTCGGCCGGTGTGGGCGAAAAGTAGCCTTGAACCTTGGTAACTGATATAAAGTTTTTTTTTATAAGACTTGTGAGCAAACATTAAGACTTATTTACTAGAAGTCGTTTAGGTCCTGGTTAGTTGAAACATTTTCTATTATGTCCCAGTTGTTAGCTGACGTGTCTTTAAATCAAAGATTTGCCCTACAACTAGTGTCCTAAGGTATACCTGTAAGCTTCCTGCTGAACAGGTAATGACTAATAACCGAACAAAGGTGGCAGTTAGTTCCCAGTCTGACAAGAGTAAGCTATTGATTTTCATTCAATAACTGGAGAATGTTCCCCCTTTTGATCGGCTTCGAAATTTTTAAACGCTGGTGCACTTTGTGAATTGAACGCTGCCCTGTAAGTTTAGACCATGTAAGTGTAAATTTATCAATATAGTAACATAGTTAAGAAAAGAACTTGAATTCATTGGATTCTGTGCGATAAATGGAAAATGCTTTGTCTGGTCGGTTTTAAACTTTTAGCACAGGGCTTTTTTTTTTTTACAGGAAGATTTAAGCTTTATGTGGGCTTTGTAGGCTCTAATAGGTATATTTTATTTGTAAAATTTATGGGACATCGAACTGTCTCCTCTGCTGACGTAAACAAATTATGGCTGTCAAACTGGAAAGATAAACATCTTTATAATGATTTGAATGTACCGTATATAATTTATTATGCAATTTTCTCCAACATTTTTCGACACTTTTATCTAAAAGCTTTAGCAAATTTTAAATATTAAGCTTAATTTAGGAAAATAACTTGTGTGAATTTTACTAAGACCAGTCTACTAATTACAGTGATATAAACATGAGGCCAACCAATAAAAATAAATCAAGGACCCCAGTGGAAATAAGTCAGTCAGATTTTTTTGGGCTATCCTAGGTAATTTACACTTCGTATGATAATTGTACTTATGTGTACCTGTACCTTTATAAACTTACTAATCTCTTGGAAAAGCAGCCTCCGTAGCGTGTAGCGTCCGTCGAGTTTCACAAGCGTTGAGTGTATTTATCTCTTACAGGCCATGCGAGAGCCAATGAATTAATAACGGTCTCTGCTCTGCCTTTCAGTACTTTGCGGCTTACCTGAGCTCCTTTACGTGCGATAATATAAAAATGACTTAAAAGATCAGCTAAAAACTTTCAGCGTTGGTGTGTATTAACTAGAGGTAGGGTCGAATTTTGTTGGCTTATGTACCAGGAGTTTACCTGGAGTAGCTTCCAGAGGTCACCGCCCTGCGGCCCGGCCCCAGACGAGGCCTTCTGGTTGCTGGCCTTATCGATCAAGCTATTAGTACCAATTATTATATAAGTATGGGGGAGCGCTAAGCCCGTAGGATTATGCAGCGCATGTGGGGGGGGGGATGAAAGGTATTCAGGTTCAATTCAGGGAACCGGAGCACAGATCCAATTTCCTAGATCAAGAGCCCCTCACCAGCGTCAAGGAGCCTCCCTTGAGGGGAGCTATTAGTACCAGCTGCCCGCAGTCTGTTGTATGGACCACAGCCCGGCTGTTCAAAAGCTGTTTTGAGTAATCTGTTGAGTTCCCTCTTGAAGACAGCTAGGAGTTTGTTGGTGATACCCAACTGTTGCACACGTGTCTTGTTCATCTACTTATCGGTATTTTATATGATTTACATAATTAAATCGTTCGTAAGTTGCAAATGGAGAAAATGTATATGGTTTTTGGTTCAAAACTCGTTTTATTCAATTTAAAGTTATTCAGTGCATTTTTATTTTTGTAATCAGAGCTGATGCATTGAATAATATGTACAGGTAATCACGTCGTCTCACAATAATGATATCTTGACCTATTTGTCAGTATATGAAACCAGCCGGGTTTATTGTTAGGAGTATTTTTGGATTTTTAAGTTGTAAGTAGTATTAGTAGCTTTATTTGTTTTGTTTGCGTTGCAGATATCCAGTCATGGTGGGAGCTGCCGAGTATAGCCCACTTTTGCTCACTCTTTAGGGCCGCCTTCGATCTTCTTGACTTTGATATTGAGGTGAGTTATTCTCGCTGTTGGGTTAAGGAGGGAGGGACGAGGGTGGGGAGAGGCAGTATGTAACTGGCCTCCCCTCCTCTCCATGCCGTAAGGTGTTAAGAAGAAACTGAACAACTACCTTCAAGTAGTTCTTGTGGTGTGGGCTGGGGACTGCAAGCCTCAAGGACCATCCGGCAGGAAGTTGGTCTGAAATCAGGTTGACGTAAACACTACAATCCTGCTTATCAGGAACTTAGTGTCGTCTTGAAGAGTGTTGGTCTAGTACGTAATTCCCCTTTATGTTGATCACTATAATTACATGAAACCACATTAATGGTTTTCGCTTATGAGGACCACTTTTTAACCTCAAAAAAAAAAAATGCTGACCCCACCACATGCTTATTTGGCAATTGATGGATAATAAAGGCACTCAAGTGCTTTCAGGAGGAGCAACACTTGTTGCGAAGCTTCGTGGACCCCTTGGAACAACTCAGCGGCCCACATGTTGGAAACCAGTGGACTACACAGTGGTTGTTTTTCATATATATACATGACCTACTGCATTGAACATATATTTTTTTTTTCACTTTTTTGGGGGGCATTTTACTCCATACTAAGATACTGAGAATAGTGGTATATTGCAGGAGTTAGAGGAAGCCTTACTAACCGATGGGTTGGACGACACAGGGAGTCCACTGTTGGCCGAGTTGACAGTACGCCTGGTGCAAGGCTGTCTTCCCGGCAAGACAGTCAATGCCACCAATTACCAGAGCTACTTAAGGAAGCTCTTTAAACACAAATGTCATGTAAGTATCCTATAGTGGTATTTTGTATGTCAGGAAAAAATATGCGTCTGACGCGCACCTTGGCTACATGATGATCCACGCAGTGAAGCTTTCATTATTGTATCGAGATCTTGTGCTGACTTACCAGCCCACTTCGTAAAAATTTAAAGATAATACAGAAAGCTTCTCATATTCTTAAGCATGTTCATTTAGGTTTAAAATACAGTATTAGTAGTACCTCTTTCTCTTTCTTTCCCTCCAGATAAAGCTAAACTCATAGAGTGTTGCCAGTCACATACTTTGTTTGAAGAATAAAAGTCACTGTTGAAAAGTAACTTACTAATTGGAAGTGAACTGTATGATGTTAAGGTTCGTCTTGGAGAACGATCAAGACTTTTGTAGTTTACCTCACTTGATCATGCTACAGACAGGACTGAAAACTCGTATAAGTTTCATTTCCATCATTTTCTTTGTTGCTGGCTAACGGAAGGATAAAAAAAGAAGTAAGATTAATCTATTCAAGCGTGCTCTTAAATTGATCTTGAAGAAAGTAAAGAATTATGCACGAGTCATTTGTAATTCTTTGCATTAATATAAATTTGCATATAGAGGCTATGGGCTGATTTTAATCTTAAATTGATGAAATCTGTTATTTCCAGGACTTAATGTATAATCTTCACCAAATACTTAAGCCTATTAATCTTCTCTCACTATATATATTTAAACACCTGCCCTCTCCTCTTCAGGTAGGGTGATCCCCCTCAAAAAAAAAAAAAAAACACATTCACCATTAGTCATTCAGTAGCTGTCTTGCCAAAAGTGCGTAGATATTACAATAGAAAGGTCCTCTTTCCCCCTGCCTCAGAGTGCAGATACTGTATTTCCTTCCTCTGGTTACCCGGTTTCTTCTTGTAGTATATTCCCCCGAATCTCTTCTTGTGGTATATTTGTACAGTACTTGTAGCTTTGTCTCGTATATTAAGAATGTTGTGTCTAGCAACACCTCCAGCTCTGTCACTCACTCATTGGCTCTCTCCCACACCCTCCAGCTCTCTCTTACACTCCTAGCTCACTTCCACACCCTCCAGCTCTCTCCAACTCTCCACACTCTCCAACTCTCTTGAACATCTTCCAGCTTTCTCCCACACCCTCCAGCTCTTTCCCACACCCTCCAACTCTTTCCCAAACCCAGTTCTCTCCTACACCCCTCAAGCTCTCTCCCACTCCATTTTAGCTCTCTTCCACTCCCTTCTAGCTCTCTTCCACACCCTTCAAGCTCTCCCACATGTTTTCAACTCTCACACCCTTGCAACTCACACCCACACTTGACAGAATCACTTCCTCTCCACTGTATCATTCTTATACCCCCAAAACTCAATCCAACATTATTCCCCATCCTTCTAGCTCTCTCCCATACCTCTAGCTTTTTACCTTATCCTTCTAGCTCTTTTCCTCATCCTTCAAGTTCTTTTTCTCACTCCTACATTCCTCTGTCTCTTTCCCACACCCTTGCAACTCACACCTACACTCAACAAATTCACTTCTCCACTTAATCATTATTATACTACCAAAAGCTCTTTTCCTCACTCCCACATTCCTCTGTCTCTCTCCCACACCCATGCAACTCACACCTACACTCAACAAATTCACTTCTCCACTAAATCATTATTATACTACCAAATCTGAGCCCCACATTTCTCTAACACACATCTGCATGTTTTAAAACACATTTCTTCACTGTGTAAGATTGGGGGAAAGAAAAGGAAGAGGTGGTGGAAAGGGAAGCAATTCTATCTAAGATTGATTCCTACCATTGTGATTTCCTGTTGATTTAGGGCAGGGTAGAGGAGAGAGGTTGCTGGAGGTTGGAGAGAACTTCCTCAATTACAGATGTAACTGAAATATATGTAGTGCTTGAAGTTTGTGAATACTCTCCTGGGATTTGCTAGTCTTGTTTATGTTGCTAATGTTACATAATTTCTGTGTATTTCTTGATGCTAGTTTCAGTATAGAGCCTCCTCCATTCACTGCACCTTTCCTCCTTTTGTGTCTATCTCATTTTTCCTCTTGCCACACCACTGGCACTGGCCTCACACAAACAGCACCACACTTTCAGTAATGCTGCTGTAGGGATAAAATGAGGTATCTTCTTGTTACAAAGTTAGTGGGACCTCCGGGGGGGAGGGGGGGTAAACAACTATCTAGGGGTTAAGCACATTGGCCTTGATCAAACAATATTATTAAAACAAAACCACCCTAGGGTCATACTTCCTCGTAAACTCATAAACAGTGTTAAACTAGTGGCCAATACAGTGATTGATAAATCCTAGGTTTGATCCTCAAGGAAGGTTAAATAACCCTACTTCAATCAAGAAAATGAAGATATGATTTAAATTCCAGTACAGTGGACCCCCGGTTAACGATATTTTTTCATTCCAGAAGTATGTTCAGGTGCCAGTACTGACCGAATTTGTTCCCATAAGGAATATTGTGAAGTAGATTAGTCCATTTCAGACCCCCAAACATACACGTACAAACGCACTTACATAAATACACTTACATAATTGGTTGCATTGGGAGGTGATCGTTAAGCGGGGGTCCACTGCATATACATCACAAAAATGCCTTACTCTACCCTCAGTACCCATCACAAAACCCATAGTTTATACACCATCCCTCAATACACATCACAAAAACATAGTTTACACATCTGTAAACTCTTAGCAGGTCTTTAAAGTAAGGCCATAAGAAAATTACCTTGACCAGTGTCCATAGTGGACTGGTATTATCCCAGCCTGCTGGTAAACACTACTATTTCTACTCTCTCTTACCTTCATGCATGTCCCACTTCAATAACAGGGCCAGGCTCCTCTTAAGGCTTCCATTAGCATAAAATAATCATACATTACCTACAGCGTGGGTACCACCACATAATGCTATACAGAGTTTTACTTATCTCTCCCATAGCCATCTTCCCATCACTCTCATCCTGATTTGACACCATGACGTCACCCACGAAAAGCGTCCACAAAACGCCAACATGAATTACATATTTGTGGGGCTCTTTTTTCCACATTGTAAACAACTTATTTTATATTATGAAACTATTAGTAAATTTAACACAATGAGACAATAGCCTGCATAACACAGTCTTCCTGAGGAAGACTGTCAGAATTTATCCTAAGGTGTATGGTGTAGCACATTGGGCATGCATTTTGGCTCACAACTGAAGTGCCCAGGTTGAACCCTGGGTTAGGCAGGACATATGAGCAGGTTTCTTACACCCACTGTCCCATGTTAGTAGTAAATAGATGCCTAAGATAGCTTGGGAATGACCTTAAAAGGAACTCAGTAGAAATATGCCACACTGCTTGACTTTCTTTGATTATCTGAATAGCTATAGTCTTCTGTCCTGTTGATCCGTGATTATCACACTAAAACATGCCGAGAACTACCCACAGCTTATCATAAACTGAATAACGATAAATATATAACAAGCCCTTCGGCATAAATTTTGTTATGCAGTACTTATCTTTATATTCCAGGAGGACCCAACCAGAGAAAATTTATTTGTTGAGGGAGATATGCGATGGCTTCCTCTTCGGCGAAAAGTAGAAATTCTTCATGCACTCTGTGATTTCAGACTAGAAGCTGAAGACGTTCTTGATCTCTTAAAAGTAAGTGTTATCTTGTTATAATATGAGGAAAGGTCATAAAAAATTTAGAAATTTTGAAAGGTATGCCTTCATATGTAAATGATGACCATTTAAGTTTGTTCTTCATTATTATATTACTATTTTTGTAAAGTAGGCCCCCCATGTCTGCGGGGGATACGTTCTAAGGACCTGCCATGGATACCGAAACCATAGATAGTACAGTAGGATCCCTGTATCTGAGGGGGATAAGTTTCAAGGACCTGCCGTGGATACTGAAACCATGGATAATAATAATAATAATAATTTTATTTTGACCTGATACATAGTTGTACAAAAGAACATAATAGTTGGGTGTACGTGCCGAAAGCCTCTTTGTATGCAGATCATTTCAGGCAAACTTAATATTTACTTAAAATTAGGAAGGCAATAGCAGGTTATTATTTGGATGTTGATGAGTTACAGTGAGTACATTAATAACAGTTTTAAATTTAGCTTATAAAACTTACATAATTACAAATAGTGGTACAGTTTGGGTTAATTTATAATATGGAAATATTTCAGTGGAACAGTTTAAAAACAATTTAAGATAACAAGCAATAACAAATAATTATATGGACATTGATGTGCTACAGTGGGTACAGTACATAATTAGTAGCAAACCCTATATATATTTATATAAATCCTATACATACCTATTATAAAGTTTAATTGATAAATTATGCTCAATATGTGGAGAATTATCACTTTACACTGATGAGAAGCACTTCACTGCTTCTCTTAATGTTTTAAGAACTGCCACCATCACTACTTTTGCCTTTGGGCAAAAGTAGTGATGGTGGCAGTAATTTTGCAGTAATACTTCCTAATTTTGCATTATTATGCAAAATTAGGAAATATTTTTGAGCCACAGCAAATCGTGAATAACTGTAACCACGGATACCAAATCAGTGGATATGGGTTCTACTGTAGTAATTTGTTTTGTATTTTACTTTTTTATTGTATCTCACCAATTTAAACTTCTTTCAAGTCCTTCTTATGGCTTATACCTATTTCAAAATGCATTTAGTTTGAGAATTGCACCTAATGTTAAAAAAAGAAAAATCTGTGTATACGAGCACATAATTTATTGAAAAAATGGAAATATATTTAGTAATGTATGCATACCATGACCAAAACTGTAATAAATTAACTTTACCATTGTATGTATACCTTAGATTAAGGTAAAGAGAAATTATCTTTATTCTAACAGATTCATTAATTTACAGAATTTAGAATCCGACAGTTTACGGGTGGAGCCCCTTGGGTACGATGATAGTGGTTCTACTTACTGGTATTTTTACGGCACCCGCCTTTATAGGGAGGATCATTCATTATATCACCCACACAGACGAAAACCAAAGGATAAAGACAAAGATAAAGAAGATAAAAGAAAAAAGAAGAGAAAGAAAAAAGGCCACAAAAATGAAGAAACTGATGAGGAAGCAGATATACCAAATCCTGTCTGGCAGGTAACACTTCATACTTTACCAACCGTGTCTTTTTCAGGTGGAGTAACCTTCTTGATGTGTGGACTGTGAATTGTTGACAATTGATACTCCACTTAGATTTTAATAGACATTTGAGTATATTATGTATGAATGGTTTTGCTCTTTCATTTCTAACTTCAGACAGTTTGCACTTTTATACAAAACACTCCCTGTAACTCAAAATTTTATTTCTTATTTTGCTAAATAATTGCTCCTTATATAGTATGCAAAAATATTAGGCAGCTAATTCAGAAAAAATAAATATAACCTTCCTTCCAACCAAATAGCCACCCATAAGTCCCCAGTATAGTAATAATGGTGCCCTCCCTGAATCTGTATTATTATTATTATTATTATTATTATTATTATTATTATTATTATTATTATTATCACAGTATAATCAAAGTTGCGAATATTATAGTTTGAGATTGTACACTATTGGGAAATAAGAATATTTAGACATTAATTTTTTGAACAGAAGAGAACGTTTTGGAGAGGAGTTATTTTCTATGGTAGTACTAAGAATGACTTCTATAGTCTTTCATGATGTACTCAGCCACTACAGTATTTTAATGGTAGCGTATATTGAGATAATGAATAAAAGTATAAAATAACGTTGAGAGCATCAACATATAGGATACAAGAATGAAGGTTGATGTAGGAATACAAATATAGACTATTGGTACTGTATTTGGATATGAAGCAAATTTGCATACTTCTTGTGGTTTGGTATGGGCCATTTTGCTATATAGCAGTAATGAAAGTGTTTTTTTGGGGGGTCACCCTACCTCGGTGGGAGATGGCCAGGTGTTGAAAAAAAAAAATAAAAAAATATTGAACATTTAAGCGAGTTTAGTCAGTGAAGATTAAATAGTGTGGGTTCTTGAAATAAAAAGTGAATTTTATAATAGGATCTGTTTTAATGTTGATCTATTTATTAATGTTTCTGCTGCAGTTACTAATAGTTGTGTCTGAGATTTTGTTGCCATGGCAGAAGTTAAAGGAAACATAGCTGTTTGTGAAATTTTGATTTTGACATAGGTGGGAAAGTTTTTTTTTTTTTTTGTGCTCTATACTTGTACATCTAACTTGAAATATAAAAAGCACAAATAAACCCACACTTGGAGAGGAAACCTTAGATAATGTCTTAGTCCCTCCTGTACTAAAATGTTAATTCAGAACTGTGTGAGAAAAAGCAGAGAAGACCAGGAGACAAGAAATCAGAAGATCTGTCTTTTAGTTTGAAGAGTCTTTATGTTTATTTAGCTACCTATGCATACTTATTGTAACACTCCTGTAAATTTCACTTATTTTTCACTTTTCACAGTGTGGTACTTAACCCCTAGCTTCCGTAAAGCATTATTTCAGTTTGCGAAAAAAAATGCGCATACTTATTAAACATTAAATAAAGTTTAGAGAAAATCAAATTCTTGCAGGTTCAGTGCTTCTCTGAGGAAGACTGGAACGTTCTTGCCGAAAAGTTTGAGGATTGTGCGTCCAAGCTTGAACGTAGTTTGTTACAGACACTCCGAGAAGACTTCCTTCCAGAGATTCCACGGCTCTTCCAGGAAAAAGAGAAGGTTATTTTGATTTTACATTAATATGAAGATTAATTTCTAGTATTATGCACAAGAATACTACTGAAGGAATACACAGCAGTACTGTTTTAAGACAATCTGTTTTCAAAGTTCGGAAGTTGCTGTTGTAAATTAAGGTGTAATTACTTTTGTGATATACCTGTTTATTTATTATACTTATTAGTTAATGTTTTTATTGACAGATTCAGAGAAAGCGCATGATGGAATTTGCTCCGAGAAGATCTTCTGGGCGGGTACAAAAATTAAAAGAGAAAAGAGAAGAGGAGGAAAAAAAAATGGCAATAGAAATTGTTGAACAGGAAAAGAGAAGACAACTAGAGGAAGATAAAAAGAAGAAAAAGAAAGAAGAGGAATCAGTTGCAGCTGAAAAAAATGAAAAGTTAGTGTACCTGATTGTTACATGGATTATAAGTCAGTATCATGTTAACTGTTTTGCTAGGTGGAAAAATATATATGAATGGAGTATGGATGAAAAGTGAATGACCTATCACTAGATTTATTTAGAATTAATAAGCTTTATAATAGATCCAAAATATTTGGAAAATTTATTTTACTCCACATGCTGCCAAATTACACCTACCACCCGACTTACGACCTGCTCGTCTTACGACCACTCGACTTACGACCATGTTTTTTATGCCAAATTTCTGGGAAATAAACAACTATTTGTGTTGTACACAGTGTTTATCCTAAATCTTACAGTATAAAATACAGTACTAACAGCATAAAAAGTAAAGTAAAACATGAAATACCAAAATGAAACAATAAAATAAAGTCATTACAAAAATGTGATGTTGATATTCAGTAGTAAAGTTCGACTTTCGACCGGTTTCTTGGAACCGAACTCGGTCGTAAGTCGGATGGTAGGTGTATTCAGAATTTGTATTGAAACATAATTTTAATAATAAAAGAAGCATAATTTCTTTCATTATTTTATTTGATATAAATACATACATTTTTTCACAGGAAAAATATACGTGAGGTTTTAAAGGAGGAGATCATTCAGGAAAAAACAAGCCCACTAAAACTGAGCAAATCACAGCGAGAGAGAAAGAAAAGTGAAGATCAGGATTTAAACATAAGAGAAAAGTTGGACATAAAGGACATCAAGAATGAAGTGATTGAGGTCAGTGATCCATCTGATCATAATGAAGATGTCCAGGAGGAACCTGTCAGAAAAGTCAGAATGGGTAGGCCAAGAAAGAACAGTACAGAAGAACCTGAGGAAAGGGTTAAAAATTGCAGAGGAAGAAAGCCAGGTCGTGGGAGAAAGCCAGGAAGGAAGCCGGGATCACAAAGACTGGTTACAAGAGAGGAAGTTACAGATGAAGAAGTTGAAGAGAGTACTAAACCTCAGGTGAGCCATTTCCTCCAGGTCTAACCAGAAACTTTATTAATCTTCTTCTTTCAACAAACCGGCCGTATCCCACTGAGGCAGGGTGGCCCAAAAAGAGAAACAAAAGTTTATCTTTTTAAGTTTAGGAATTTATACAGGAGAAGTGGTTACTAGCCCCTTGCTCCCAGCATTTTAGTCGCCTCTTACAACACACATGGCTTACAGAGGGAGAATTCTGTTCCACTTGCCCTTGAGATAAGAGGAAATAAACAATAACAAGAACTAGAAAGAAAAGAGAAGAAAACCTAGAGGGGTGTGTGTGTATATATATGCTTGTATATGTATGTGTAGTGTGACCTAGGTGTAAGTAGAAGTAGCAAGAGATACCTGAAATCTTGCATGTTTGAGACTGAAAAAAGGACACCAGCAATCCTACCATTATGTAAAACAATTACAGGTTTTCGTTTTACTCACTTGGTAGGATGGTAGTACCTCCCTGGGTGGTTGCTGTCTACCAACCTACTACCTACTGCTACTTTATTAATTTTTTTTTTAACAAGTTGGCTGTCTCCCGCTGAGACAGGGTGACCCAAAAAGAAAGAAAATCCCCAAAAAGAAAATACTTTCATCATCATTTAACACTTTCACCTCACTTGTACATAATCACTGTTTTTGCAGAGGTGCCCAGATACAACAGTTTAGAAGCATATATAAAGATACAGTGGACCCTCGACTAACGCTATTAATCCGTTCCTGAGAGCTCATCGTTAGTCAAAATAATCGTTAGTCAAGTTAATTTTCCCCATAAGAAATAATGGAAATCAAATTAATCCGTGCAAGACACCCAAAAGCATTGAGAAAATTTTTTTTTAACACATGAAATATTAATTTTAATACACACAAACTGAAGAAGACATGCACAGTTACATGACACTTACCTTTATTGAAGATCTGGTGATGATTGATGGGATGGGAAGAGGGGAGTGTGTTGATGGTCTTAGTGTTTAGAAGGGGAATCCCCTTCCATTAGGACTTGAGGTGGCAAGTCCTTTTTTGGGGTTACTTCCCTTCTTCTTTTAATGCCACTAGGACCAGCTTGAGAGTCACCGGACCTCTGTCGCACAACATATCTCCCCATAGAGGCCTGTACCTCCCGTTCCTTTATGACATTCCTAAAGTGTTACACAACATTGTCAGTGTCACCATTAAACACTTGTTCAGGTTTCAGTCCTTCACTGTCTATGTACTCCTTGAATTCCTGCACATATTTTTCAGCTGCTTTTTGGTCCAAACTGGCAGCTTCACCATGCCTTATCACACTATGTATGCCACTAGATTCTTAAATCTCTCAAACCAACCTTTGCTGGCCTTAAATTCACTCACATCACCACTAGTTGCTGGCATTTTTCTAATTAAATCGTCATGCAACTTCTTAGCCTTTTCACATATGATCGCTTGAGAGATGCTATCTCCTGCTATCTGTTTTTCGTTTATCCATACCAATAACAGTCTCTCAACATCTTCTATCACTTGCGATCTCAGTTTCGAAAACATAGTTGCACCTTTGGCAAGAACAGCTTCCTTGATTGCTGTTTTCTTGGCCACAATAGTAGCGATGTTGATTGGGGTTTTGTGTACAGCCTGGCCAGCTCGGAGACATGCACTCCACTTTCATACTTAGCAATGATCTCTTTCTTCATATCCATAGTAATTCTCACCCTTTTTGCTGTAGGGTTGGCACTACTACCACCCTTCCATAGCATATAAACATTGCATGTTTATATGCTATGTAATGTGTTTCTTATATAATTTTGAAGAAAATATCATAGATGGATTAATGAAAATATCTATATTAACATAAAATAAGACATTTAATGTGCACAAGAGTGATTATTATTACGTATTAGTATTATTACTATGGCGTTAAGACTTAGAGGGACACTCTTAGTGAGCAAGTAACAAAGGGATGTTTATATGCTATGTAACATAATTTTGAAGGAAATATCGTAGATGGATTAATGAAAATGTCTATTTTAATGTAAAATAAGACATTTAATGTGCCCAAGAGTGAGTTATGAACGTATGAGTGGCCCAGGTGGATGCATCTGAGCATCCGGGGTAAAATTTCGCCGAAAAAAGTGGTCAGAATCTGAATTGTATGATTTCCACACCAGATGAAATCTGGGGGTCCACTGTACTTACAGTAGACCAACACCTTTTGTGTGGGTCACATTCCTGAAATTGGAGCTACAGTTGTACCTCGAATTTCGAACAGCTCCCAACTCGAATAATTATGTAAGTGCATTTTTGTAAGTTCTTTTGTAAGTATTTTTGGGGGTCTGAAACAGACTAATCTGATTTACATTATACCTTATGGGAACAAATTCGTTCGGTAACGGCACCCGAACAGCCTTCTGGAACGAATTATGGCCGAAATTCAGGGTACCACTATATATGTGAAAATGCGATATGTGGAGTGAACATCTGATGGAAAACAATAGGGTTGCATTTCTGACACCTAAAAAACAAGTACATATTATTTTACATTACTGATTTATAATAAGTACAATGTACAATGCCTGCACTTTAAAGGAGGGGTTTGGGATATTGGCAGTTTGGAGGGATATGTTGTGTATCTTTATACGTATATGCTTTTAAACTGTTGTATTCTGAGCACCTCTGCAAAAACAGTGATAATGTGTGAGTGTGGTGAAAGTGTTGAATGATGATGAAAGTATTTTCTTTTTGGGGATTTTCTTTCTTTTTTGGGTCACCCTGCCTTGGTGGGAGACGGCCGACTTGTTGAAAAAAAAAAAAAAAACGTATTTACAATGATCTTGTGGGCACACAGATATTATAAGCAGATTAAAAATTATGGTACATTATATAAAGTTAACCTGGAATACTTTTTTTTTTTTTTTAAACATACGGGCTGTCTCCCACCAAGGTAGGGTGACCCAAAAGAAAAAACACTTTCACCATCATTCATTCTTATCACTGTCTTGCCAGAGACATGCCAATACTACAGTTCAGATGCCCCTCCAAACTGAAAATATCCCCAGCCATCCTTCAGAGTGCAGGCACTTTGTTTTTATTTGTTCATTGGATGTTTTTTCGTTCCAATAGATTTTGTTATGTACCAGATTGTTTTTCATTGTGGACTATCACACACTCCAAAATGTTCAGAAATGGCAGTCTACCTGGAGGGCATTCCGGGGATCAACGCCCCCGTGACCTGCTCCATGATCAGGTCTCCTATAGTCCACTTTGGTGTATCATTTTGGTAAACTGTGTAATAATGTGAATCTTTGTAAATTATGACATTTTGCACTATCTTTTCAGGTTTACAGTGGACGGAAAACCAACAATTCCTTATCTTCAGTAGCGTTTTCATTAAATCACACTGCAGTAGTGCCTGAGCCCGATGTAACTAATGTTAACTCTGTCACGTCACCGCCCACTAAAAAGAAAGTCAAGAGTGCACATATGTAAGTTACTTATACTATATTAATATTGATTATTTGGTATTATTATCAGGGAATGAATTGCTGGCATTCAGTTTTGAGTATTAATTGATTAAAAACAGATGAAAAAGTGTTTAAATTATATGTCAATACAGAGCCCTGAGACATGCATGCAGTTTTATGAAGTTAAAAATTTCAACTTACTGTATGTTGTTCAGGAAGCCCACAATTTAATAAACTTTAGAATCATGGGACAAAATCTGTTGGGTTAGATGATTCAGAAACCATGGATAAAGTTCATTGTTTATGATTCATTGAAGTATCTGCATGAAAGTCACTTGTTGATGAGACAAAATGCTATACTGGTGTAACTAAAGGCGGAAGGTCTCAGGATTCCTTAAGGCTACCTGTTGCATCTCTAGTGCCTTCTTGGCTTGTGTGGTGAATGGTTTTGTGTCCCTGTTGCCCATGCACTGTGTGATCCTGAGGGTTCAGTTTGTCGGACATATTTAGCTGTTGACAAATTAATATGAGCAGAAGTAAGTCACTGACACAAGAGACATTTGCAAAGATCATTAGATTACATAAGGCAGGCAATCAAACCAAAGACATGGTAGAACCCACTGATGTGTGTGTGTGAGCATTCCGTGAAGCCCTGATTGTGTTGGTTCCTTGAAGACAGTGTTGATGATATGCCCACACGAAAAGCACATCCAGGGAAGCCTTGAAATATGTCCCCACTAATGTTAACTGTCATAACATACCTAGAATTGCTCTCTTATCATTTCCCAGAATCTTTAGTGCAGGGGGGTACAAGGTTTTTATGCAAGACAGTGCTCCTTTCCACACCATGAAATCTGTTGTTCAGTAGTTTTACATCTATGTGGTACCCTTCTTTGATGACTGGCCAGGATATTTCCAAGACTTCAGGCTCGTGGTGAACCTTTTAGCTGTGATAGAGAGAGAGAGAGATCTACTAGGGGAAAGGATATCAGCCCACTCCCATGGTTTTAGGATGCCATCTGTAAACCATGGGAAAATTTACCCCATGAAACCCTGAAGAATGAGTTTTAATCACTTCCTAGATAGTTGAAGGATATCCTAAAGTGCAAGGGATGACCTACTTTGTGGTCATTTTAGGGAGAGAGCAGTGTACTTTAATGATGAACATTGTAGTGGAATAAGTAATCCACATTTGGCATCCTTGCTCAGATTAATTTTTTCAGTTATTATTTTCAAGTTATGAGGCATTGTTACACCTTCACCTTCAGTTTGTGTTTAAGTGCGACTTTACTCATTTTAATGGTAAAGTTTAATTTTTGGGTAAAGTGTGATGGTCACAGGTTGTATCCATATTTAGCACTTAATGTACGTATTCGGTACTCTGGATACATTCTCTCTTGTGGATGTATTCCGTGCTGTTTTCAAGACTGCAAAACTTTTTTATTGTAATGCCTAACATGGAGTCAATTCTTGCATCTTTGTTAAGAGAATAGCATCTAAAAACAAAGATTTGTTATAAACACAGTCATGATTATTTTGCAGTTAAGCTTTTACTTAACATTTTCTGTACAATCACAAGAAAAACTTTAGGAAATTTACATAAAGTTATATTCCTTAACAGGGTTTTACAAACTGAGGACGATTTACGCACAGGGATGTACAAGGTTCTTGAACATCTACGGGACCATGAAGACGCATGGCCGTTTCATGATCCAGTTGAAGAGGAATATGCACCCAATTACTATGCAGTTATCCGAAGACCTATGCACATCACTAGGGTTAGAATCAATTTACCACAATAATTTTACTGAATGAAAGTTTTCTTATTAATACAGTAATAAAAAAATGTGTTTATTGATAATTTTGAAAGAGGCTGGAGGGAATATTTCAAGGAATGACTAATCCATCTTTAATTCATTGATATGAAACACTGGTGGATCATTATTGCATTATAAGCGCTTTTAGAAGTGGAAAGTCTTGGGAGCACGTGTGGTGCTTGGAGAGTAGATAGAATAAGGATAGTAGAAGAGGAAGGTCATGAAGATAGGCAAATATAGTAAGTACAGGGGGACAACATGGTAGTTCTGTGAACAACACATAGAAGAAACAGTTTATTGGATTAAGTGGGAGTGTCTTATTAAGAGGAATGAATGAATTTGAAACATCTAGAATTTTTTTTTTTTTCAACAAGTTGGTCGTCTCCCACCGAGGCAGGGTGACCCAAAAAAGAAAGAAAATCCCCAAAAAGAAAATACTTTCATCATCATTCAACACTTTCACCACACTCACACATTATCACTGCTTTTGCAGAGGTGTTCAGAATACAACAGTTTAGAAGCATATACGTATAAAGATACACAACATATCCCTCCAAACTGCCAATATCCCAAACCCCTCCTTTAAAGTGCAGGCATTGTACTTCCCATTTCCAGGACTCAAGTCCGACTATAAGAAAATAACCGGTTTCCCTGAATCCCTTCACTAAATATTACCCTGCTCACACTCCAACAGATCGTCAGGTCCCAAGTATCATTCGTCTCCATTCACTCCTATCTAACACGCTCATGCACGCTTGCTGGAAGTCCAAGCCCCTCGCCCACAAAACCTCCTTTACCCCCTCTTTCCAACCCTTTCGAGGACGACCCCTACCCCTCTTTCCTTCCCCTATAGATTTATATGCTTTCCATGTCATTCTACTTTGATCCATTCTCTCTAAATGACCAAACCACCTCAACAACCCCTCTTCTGCCCTCTGACTAATGCTTTTATTAACTCCACACCTTCTCCTAATTTCCACACTCCGAATTTTCTGCATAATATTTACACCACACATTGCCCTTAGACAGGACATCTCCACTGCCTCCAACCGTCTCCTCGCTGCTGCATTTACCACCCAAGCTTCACATCCATATGAGTGTTGGTACTACTATACTTTCATACATTCCCTTCTTTGCCTCCATAGATAACGTTTTTTGACTCCACATATACCTCAACGCACCACTCACCTTTTTTCCCTCATCAATTCTATGATTAACGTCATCCTTCATAAATCCATCCGCCGACACGTCAACTCCCAAGTATCTGAAAACATTCACTTCTTCCATACTCCTCCTCCCCAATTTGATATCCAATTTTTCTTTGTCTAAATCATTTGATACCCTCATCACCTTACTCTTTTCTATGTTCACTTTCAACTTTCTACCTTTACACACATTCTCAAACTCATCCACTAACCTTTGCAATTTTTCTTTAGAATCTCCCATAAGCACAGTATCATCAGCAAAAAGTAACTGTGTCAATTCCCATTTTGAATTTGATTCCCCATAATTTAATCCCACCCCTCTCCCGAACACCCTAGCATTTACTTCTCTTACAACCCCATCTATAAATATATTAAACAACCATGGTGACATTACACATCCCTGTCTAAGACCTACTTTTACCGGGAAGTATTCTCCCTCTCTTCTACACACCCTAACCTGAGCCTCACTATCCTCATGAAAGCTCTTTACAGCATTTAGTAACTTACCACCTATTCCATAAACTTGCAACATCTGCCACATTGCTCCTCTATCCACTCTATCATATGCCTTTTCTAAATCCATAAATGCAATAAAAACTTCCCTACCTTTATCTAAATACTGTTCACATATATGCTTCAATGTAAACACTTGATCTACACATCCCCTACCCACTCTGAAGCCTCCTTGCTCATCCGCAATTCTACATTCTGTCTTACCTCTAATTCTTTCAATTATAACTCTACCGTATACTTTTCCTGGTATACTCAGTAAACTTTTTCCTCTATAATTTTTACAATCTCTTTTGTCCCCTTTCCCTTTATATAAAGGGACTATACATGCTCTCCGCCAATCCCTAGGTACCTTCCCCTCTTTCATACATTTATTAAACAAAAGTACCAACCACTCCAACACTATATCCCCCCCTGCTTTTAACATTTCTGTCATGATCCCATCAGTTCCAGCTGCTTTACCCCCTTTCATTCTACGTAATGCCTCACGTACCTCCACCACACTTACATTCTGCTCTTCTTCACTCCTAAAAGATGGTATACCTCCCTGGCCAGTGCATGAAATTACCGCCTCCCTTTCTTCCTCAACATTTAAAAGTTGAAATAATTTAGATATGGCTGAGGACATTTTACTGAAATTAATTGGTAGGGTGATACCAAATAAAAATTGTCCCAGCATTTGCAGCAAAGTTGTAAGTGTTCTACTAACAGACCTTGATGTTGGTGAGGCACTCTTGATCCATGGAATTGAATCTAACTTGATTTCCTCCCAGTCTGAAGTGCTGTAAGTTTTTCACATCCCCATGAATTTTATTATACCTACAGATCACAACATACACTTGTACTGAGAACTCGTTAATTTTTTTTAATGTACTAGCTGTCTCCCACTGAGGTAGGGTGACCCAAAAAAGAAACACTTTCACCATTTATGTGCCAGAGGCACACAAATATACCAGTTCAGATGTCCCTCCAGACTTGTATTGAGTAGTTGACAACATTTCAGATGGAGGAGCGCCTGGATGCTGGGTTTTACTCTAATCTTAAGATGTTTGAGGGAGACTTCAAACTCATGATGGATAATTGCAAACTTTACAATGGTCCAGAAAGTGGTAAGGCTCCTTATTAATTTTTTAATATTTTTTGTATTGTTATGCAAACATAAGGATATTAGAAAGTAGTGTTACAAAGGGCTGAAAAAGCACATTAACTTCACCTAGTTACAAAGAGTTCTAAGGTTAGTGTAAACAAAGTAAATTCACCATTTATGAGAATTATGTAAGAATAAGAACATAAGAATGTTTATTGATATATGTGGTAAATGTAATGGTAAATATTTACAAAATGGCCCAATGTTTCAGAGGGACTATGCCATCTGGTAACCAGTTGTTAGAAATAATGATTTTTCTGTAGAAAATATTCTTTCTTATTAAAAATCTTCATCATAAGTTGTAGGGTTATTTAAGTTTATCGGCTTTTTAAAATTATGTATTTATTACTATTATATATTTTATAATGCTCTGTTTTGCAGAATATACACACATGGCATACACACTTGAGAAAGTGTTTGCTAAGCTCAAGGCTAAATACCTTGAAGCAGACCTTTCCTCTGATGAAGAAATGTACATTGATATGAGCTACCAGCAAGCAGCAAAGAGAAAGAACAAGAGAAGAAGTAACAGCGATGAGAAAGAGAACACAAGAATAGATGGGGGAAAAGGCACGCCAAAAAAAAGAGGACGCAAAAAAAAGAAAGTTGGAAGAAAACCAAAGGAGAAGCATAATAATGATTCACATATTATGTCTGAGAAAGAAAAGGAGTGGAAGAAAAGTAAATTTTCCAGAGAAAAAGACAAAGAAAAGGATAAAACTAAGAATAAAGACAAACCAAAGATTGACGAATATGAGTTTCGTGATGAGGATGATGATGAAGATGATGATGATGATGAAGATGAGTTTGAGGAACCACCACTTCTAGTGAGGGAAGATCCTTACCCTGAGGATGATGATGAGATGGAGGAGGGTGAGGAAACGGCAGAAGAACCTCATTCCACACTAGAGGACCCTCTTAAAGAAGATGCAAAAGTTGTAAAAAACAAAGTGGGAAGACCAAGAAAAGAAGACGTGAACAAGAAGGTAGTTAGCGATGTGATTGATGATGAAGATGAGGAGGATGATGATGATATGGAGCCTGATGTCTGTCTATATTACAATAATAATGATTACAGAAGTGATGAAGAAGAAAATGATGATGTAAGAAGTAACACAGACTATATAAACGAAAGACACAATGAACTATTTGGTGAAATAGATGATATTGAAGATGAGGAAGATGAACAAGAGGTTGAAGAGGAGGAGGAGGAGGAGGACAATTCTGTTGTGAAAACCAATGAAAAAGCCAAACACAATCATTCAGGGAAACAGAGTAAAAAGAAAAGTGGTTCAGTAAAAGACAAAGAAAAAAAGAAGCATAAACATGGTGACAAACACGATAAACACCATCACCACCATCATCATCACCATCATCATCATAAGAGCAAATCAAAAGAGGGAAAACACCATAAAAAGAAGAACAAGCATGCTACAGAGAAGGATGCTAAGAAGATACTAAAAGTGGAGGATGTGTATGACTACTCAGAGGAGGAAGATCAGGGGGTGACTGCAGAGGAGAGGCAGGGTAATAAAGTGGCACTTAAAACCAAAGATGAAACTGGGAAGAAAAAGAAGAAAATCAAACACAGAGGAAAACATGAGAAACATGGAAAGCATCACGATAAGCAAGAAAAGCATGAAAAACATAAAGAAGGAAAGGCAAAAGAGAGTAAGAAAGAAAGTAAAAAGAAAAATAGCAAGAAAAAGAAGATTCCAGCAAAAAATATGGCTGCTATTGATGCTTTGTCTGCAGCAACAGAACAAACTCTAAAGGTAATGTTAGTTATTGATGTACAGTAAACCCTCTTTTACTATGCACATTTTATTCTTAAAAATTCGCAGATATGTAAAGTGAAGTCCACAAACACAAAATAAGATTATGTTCCTGACACCTTCAGATTTGGCAGTCAAATTTCATTTTACTAGTGTACTAGTCGAAAATTACTGCAGTATACTTTACCTCGCATTCTGCATGTTACATAAGTATTTGAAGATTGTAGGGAGGGTTAACATGGGCCTATTGAGATACAGCCGAGGTTGATCAACTGACTTTCTTAGTAAATGTGAACATCGTCATAATAAAAGCCACATTTCCTTACCATATTGTACCAATCTGTAGTGGAGGGAAGGCAGGGTAGGGGTCAGCCTAGGAAAGGTTGGAGGGAGGGGGTAAAGGAGGTTTTGTGTGCGAGGGGCATGGACTTTTAGCAAGCATGCGTGAGCATGTTAGATAGGAGCAAATGGAGACAAATGGTTTTTAGGACTTGACTTGGTGTTGGAGTGTGAGCAAGATAATATTTATAAAGGGATTCAGGGAAACCGGCAGGCTGGACTTGAGTCCTGGAGATGGGAAGTAGTGTCTGCACTCTTAAGGAAGGGTGTTAGTATTGCAGTTTTGTAATTGTAGTGTAAGCACACCTCTGGCAAGACAGTGATGGAGTGGACGATGGCGAAAGTTTTTCTTTTTTGGGCCACTCTACCTTGATGGGAAATGGCCAATATGTTTATAGAAAAAAAATTGTACCAACAAATAAGAACTTGCTACACCTATACCAAACAAATATGCATTAATGTGAAGGCATTTGACTTTTTTTTTTTATTTAAGATTTATGGTGCTTATTATTATCAAATTTTTTTGTTGCACATTTTGAATTGCATTGCAACAAAATCACTCTTATGAAGTCACTCTATATATTTGTTGTGTAAAACAGTATCATGAAATTATCATTTGTTGTAAAGAATGATACCACAGTGGTTAAAGATTATCATACAATTATCGCTGTAGGATAATGTTTCTGTACAGTTCACAAGTAACCCACAAATTAGAATGAAAACTGTATCCAAATACTTTTTTCTTTGGTTGGAGATTAGGTGCCACAGTAACTGACTCTGCCCTTTAGGTTCTCTTTATCTGTGGCAGGTATTATTTTGTCACTTGTAGTATTGATAACACTGTCTCACCAGTACCTGCAGTGTGCCCCTTCCTTTCATAACTTACACTGTCTTGGTATCTGTGAGGACAGTGTCCTGGTCATCAAGACTTGTATCTTGTTGCTAATATAGGATTATTATATTAAAAAATGAAGCACCAAATTAGTGTGGTTGAGAGCACTGCATTCAAAAGAGGGTGGATTCATTAGAAGTTGGAGAGGTGGAGTGTTAGTAAGAGTGCAAAACGAAAGTCATGCTTGGTGGAAATGGTCAATTAGTGTCATATAAAGAAAGAGCATTGATGGTGGGGTTTTCAAGGTGAAGGGCAAGCAAAGTGAGTGCATCAAGGGCACTGGAGGTGTCAAAAGTGAAATCTGCATGCTCTAAGAAATAGGACAGTTGATTAATACAAGTCGTACTGTCAACACAACTTGATAGTCCTTACAGAAAGGTGCCAGGTTTTTGTCCCTAAGGTGTTGATGTGTGAGTCTTGCGTGTCCAGTACATAATTGTGGGTTTTGATTATCCACAGGCAACTAATGAATAAATTTGATTATCCACTAATTTCTGGTGGTACCCATTTGTTTTTTTTTTTCAGGCTTGGTGCACAATCCCTATATTGAAAAATTATAGAATTTTTTCCAAATTGTACTCGGTTGCTTTTCTGATTATTCTTTCTTTTAAAATTCAGTTGGTGTTTGAAATACAAATTTAAAAAATGTGAAACAAAATTATTCAGACAGAATCGGGTATTATTCATACTTTTTAGTTTCGTGGGACCTCATAGATGTACAGGAGGGCCCCGCTTTACGGCGTTTTGCTTTACGGCGTTCCGCTAATACGGACATTTCAAATTATGACCAAAACTCGCTATACGGCTCCCCCCACCTTTCTTTCTAATACGGTCACAGCGGCCCACCGAGTTTGTTTACATTCTCCCTGAGCACATCTCCTTATTATGTCTGGAAACTTTCCAAAATTTCAAGTGTTTTAAAGTTATTGTATATTTTATATGTATTGTACTTGATAATTAAACTTGTGTACACCTGTACCTAAATAAACTTACACACTGTGCTGGCATGTAGGTACACATTAAAATCACTAAGAGTCTCTCTACTCTTGATGCAATAATAATAATAATAATAATAATAATAGTAATAATAATAATCTCTTGGGCGCATTAATGTCGCATATTACATTAATATAGACATTTCCCTTAATCTATGATATTTTTTTCAAAATTATGTAAGAAACACATTATGTAACACACAAACATGATACATGCACCCACAGTATAAAAATTTATACAAATATATATGAGATGTTTACCAAACGGTTTGTAGAAGTGTCGGAAGAATTACGTTTTCTCTAGCCCGTCACCTGTTACTAGGGATAACTGTAGAAAAAATATTCCTTTGTATGCCTTCACTTTATAGCTATAATTCTGTACTAACTTGTACACAGTGTAAGAGTATTTGTTTCGTGATTTAATTATTATAATAATAATAAAAATATTATAAGGTAAAAGTTTCACAAACTCTTACAAATGTACATGAATGAACTAAAACTGGACACGTATTAATACCGTCTATTTCGCCTGACCGAGTGATCGTCCACAACCTGTTCAGTTTGTTTGTTTACCCTGTCTGAGCTCGGTGTATCATTAAATGTTGTATATTACGTTAATATACACATTTTCATTAATCCATCCATGATATTTTTTTTCAAAATTATATAATAAACACGATACATAACATAAATACATAACAACATATGTGTAGAGAACCTAGGATAACCCAAAAAAGTCAGAGTGACTTACTTCCATTGCCTTCACTCAGAGCATCATTTCTTCTCAAAATGATGTTACATGAGAATGGGAGTGTTCTTCTTTATTTATTCTACCGTATCAATGTAGAGACAACCTGTACACAATGTAACTTGTACACAAACCAGACGTGTACACTGTTTACAAAACTTACCTTCGCCTGGTTTGTTTACATAACTCTGCGCCTGTCCTCTCTCATGCACTCATTCTTTCTCTCTGGTATGGTAGCCTGGCTGACTACCATACATACCACACTTGATTTTTTACAATAAATACTACTCATCTCACCCTATATTTTAAGGTAAGTAATGAGTGAACTGTATATACATTTTATCGCTCTGGGATGCTTAAATATCATAGAATAGTATGTGTGGGTGGGTTGGCCTGGTATGGTAGCCTGGCTGACTACCATACATACCACACTTGATTTTTTACAATAAATACTACTCATCTCACCCTATATTTTAAGGTAAGTAATGAGTGAACTGTATATACATTTTATCGCTATGGGATGCTTAAATATCATAGAATAGTATGTGTGGGTGGGGTGGCCTGGTATGGTAGCCTGGCTGACTACCATACATACCACACTTGATTTCTTACAATAAATACTACTTGTCTCACCCTAGATTAAGACTATAAATATTTTAAGGTAAGTAATGAGTGCACTATGTGTGTATTGTACTTTTTTATTGTTTTTTGATGCCTGGTTCTATTGCTAACATAATATATGTTAGTGTAAACTTGTTATCTAGTGTTTGTATGCATTTGTAAGTGGAAAAAAAGGGTGTTCCACTTTACGGCGGTTTCCGCTTTACGGCGGTAGCCTGGAACCTAACCCGCCGTATAAGTGGGGCCCTCCTGTATTTGTTACTCTCGATTAGGTTAGGTTAACATATTAACTTCTTTTTTTTTTAAGACATTGGCCTTCTCCCACCGAGGCAGGGTGACCCATAAAAGAAAGAAACACTTTCACCATTGTGCACACACATAATCACTGTCTTTGCAGAGGCGCTTAGATACGACAGTTTAAATGTCACTCCACACAGCCAATATCCCAACCCTCTCCTTTAAAGTGCAGGCATTGTACTTCCCACCTCTAGGACTCAAGTCCAGCTAATCGGTTTCCTTGAATCCCTTCACAAAATATTACCCTGCTCACACTTCAACAGTTAGTCAGATCCCAAAAACCATGCGTTTTCATCAGTGCTATCCAACATGCTCACACATGCCTGCTGCATGTCCAAGCCCCTTGCACACAAAACCTCTTCTACCCCCTCCCTCCACCCTTTTGTAGGATGACCTCTACCCCTCCTCTCCACTACAGATTTATATACCCTCCAAGTTATCTTCTTTTACTCCATCCTCTCTAAATGACCAAACCACCTCAACATCCTCTCTTCAGCCCTTCACACCTCCTCCTAATTTACGCACTGCGAATTCTTTGCATAATATTTGCACCACACATTGCCCTTAGACACAACATCTCCACTGCCTCCAGCCTCCTCCCTGCTGCAGCATTTACAACCCATGCTTCACATCCATATAAGAGTGTTGGTACCACTATACTCTCGTACATTCCCTTCTTTGCTTCTATGGATAACATTTTTTGTCTCCAGGTACCTCAATGCAATTTTTTCTTGTTTTCATTAAAATTTCTTGACAGTGCCTCTCCTTTTGCACTCTCTCACCACTCTCTTCACCTTTCTTTTACTCTCCATATACTCTGCTCTTCTTATAACACTTCTGGTTTGTAAAAACCTCTCATAAGCCACCTTTTTCTCTTTTATGACACCCTTTACTTCATCATTTCTCCAATCACTTGTATCTGCTTATAATTAACTGACAAAAATGAAATAGCAAAAACAGGCAACTTATGTCTGGCATTGTGAGACATATTATAGTACTTGCATTGGGAGATTAGTTGTTGCTGGAGATGCAGAACAACCATATTTATTACGAAGTACAGCAGGGTGTGGGAAGTCAGTTCTGTATACTACTTTGTAACACTGGAAGTCTTAATGATAACCTATATTGAGTATGCTTTTTATCTTGATGATTAAGTCACTGCTATGTTTAGTGGGATTATGTTTTATAAGTTATTACTTGCATTTGGTTTGATGAAGACAAGCAATTCCTTGTCCACCCGTATGTCGTACTCTTCTGTCAGTCCCATATCTAATATTGGTGACTGGCTTGGCATCTGTACAGATTTGAAGATTTTTATTCAGATTATTAACCCAGAGGGTTAATAACTCAAGGAAACCCATGAAAGCCACTCAATCTGGCTTGTTTCCATCAAGATCCTCTTGACTCTTTCCCAGGATGCAACCCACTAACAGTTGGTTATCACCCAGGAATCTGTTAACTGTTAAGTGACTAGGGGCAGCAGGTGTAAGCAAAGATGCCCAACATTTGTACTTGTGCAGGGATCAAATCCAGGTCTTTCAGATGTGAGCTGAAGATGCTACCATATAAGCCACAGTTGCTGCTAGATAGTTTGTAGATTCTGAATAGTTGCTGAGTGCTGCATGACCCCATGCAGTTTAGTGCTTGTTTGAAATACACTATAATAATAATAATAATAATGTGCAGCTGTTGCAGGTGGAGGAGACCTTGGCCTGAAGGTGGTAGACAGGGCTGTAGTGTCATCAGTAGAAATAGTGGGGATTGAACTGCAGCTGTCAGTATTGATGCTTCCTATGGGTTTCACCTGTAAGTCTTCTCATGGGTAGTTAGCATTGGCAGTGAAGACAATATCACCACCTGGGTGCTTGAAAGACTTACGATATATTTGTCAGTGCTGGCAGCTGATATTACAATATGTAACCTAACTGTAGAGTTTTGAGGCTACCAGATTCTCACAAACTTTCTTTTCTAATGGAAATTCAAGGCCTTGTCATTCTTGTCAGCCTCAGCTGAGCAATTCGTCTCTCTTGTTATAGGTTTGTTTGGATTCTCTACGATGGTTTGGAATGAATCTAAACAGTGTAAGAGCTTGGTGAGTGATTCTCTCTGGTGGAAATATGTTTCTGTCAAGCTAACACTACAGACCAGGAGTGAATTGATTATTATCAGTCAGGTGAGTCACCTGAGTTTTTGTAGTTCTGTCCTTTTGTGTTGCTGATTCTAATTCTGATACATTACATCCATCACTGGTTTGCCAGTTTCTTTCGAGAAACCTGATATCATTTGCCTTATTGCAATTGAGGTCTTTCCATCTAGCATGCAAGTTGGCTATAGTTGGAACATAGCTTCCTTCTTGCATTTTTTATTTGTCTTGCCTTTGGTCGTATACATCTTCCTTGCACCTGATGTATGCCTGATATTTGGTCATACATCTACATGCTCTGCAGTAACTTGCAGGACAGAATCCTGTGAGGGAACTCATCCTCAAATCTTGCAGTGCTTTGAAGATAATATGCAAGGAGAGAGAGAGAGAGAATAGGCAAGCAAGGACTGGCTGCTCTGAAGGGAAGGAGTGTGCTAGGGTGGAGTGAAATTGTTTGAACATACTGACAGTAATAAAATATACTTTTTATCTCTCTTTCATCTTTGTTTTACCCAATGCAGTAGCTGCAGTAAGCAAATTTGTTTAAATATATTTTTTTTGCATTATCTTTTGCTTAACCCTTTAGGGGTCGCCAGGCCCTCTCAGAGACTTGTTCTCAGGGTTGCCAAAATTAAAAAAAAAAAAATTATTTTTTCTTGTGAAAAGATAGAGAATCTTTTCCCGATCATAATAACACCAAAAGTATGAAAATTGATGGAAAACTTACGGAATTATGCTCTCGTGGAGTTAGCGGTCTCGACGATGTTTACGCATCGGCGATTTTGCCCACTTTGAGCCCTATTTTCGGCCAATTCCAGTGTACGAGTCGACAAAAATCATGACTATTTCGCTAGAACTCCATTTTTTCTATCGAATGAGTACAAGAAACCACCCATTTACCGATTTCAACTATCCAATAAAGTGGTCAGAATTGAGCAATTTTGCCAATTTCACACAAATTTCAAAAGATGACAATTTCCAAATAGGGTCCAGAATAAACAAGAAAGACATTCCTGGCACTAAAATAACATTTCCTCTGTTCATTAGTCACGTCCCCAGGCCCCTCGTACATTTCTTTTGCTTTCCACTTTGATTTTTTATTCTTAAAAAATAAGATTTACTGTTATGCAGACTACTGCATTAGTGTAGAAATGGTATAAATAATATCAGCACACTTGTGAAAGAATATTAGACTCGCCAGTTGATGTGTATTGGATGCTTAGCATGATTTGTTTACTTTTGAACTTTGGTAAAAATCGAACATTTCTGCTACTTTGAGTTCAATTTCAAGTTACTTTTCATTGTAAAACCAATCAAAATCATCTCAATTTCTGTAATATGTCTTCCATTCTTTAAAATGAGACCAAGAAAACTAGAATACAACAATAAATACCATACGAAAATACAGTGCAAAGTCGCTGTTGTAATCCAAAAACACGGTCTAAACTTTTTTTTTTCATTACGCACTGTGTGCTGCAGGATTTTTTTTTATACTGCGCACACTGACCACATAGACCCATTCTTTCATATGTAGGCCTACCAGCTTTCTCTTGCTAGATTTGAGGGCGCTAGAATTTATGTGTACTAGTACGTCAAAAACCCTGGTGCGTAAGCCGTACTAGTACGGCCAAAACCCCCAAAGGGTTAAAGAATAGGCAAGCAAGGATTGGCTGCTCTGAAGGGAAGGAGTGTGCTAGGGTGGAGTGAAATTGTTTGAACATACTGGCAGTAATACAATGTACTTTTTATCTCTCACCTTCGTTTTACCCAATGCAGTAGCTGCAATAAGCAAATTTGTTTAATTTTTTTTTTTTGCATTATCTTTTTCTTAATATGTTACTAATGGCTGGTTAATTGTGGCCCTGAATTTTGACTCGACCATTTCACGTAGAAATAAAAATGAGTTATATATCATGGCTAAATGCAGACATGAAGGTAAAAGGCTGTTTATACAATTTTGCAGGTGCAGAGAAGTCATCTCTTAAGTCAGCAGCCATGCACTACATATTTATACTCTATATATGAGCAGTTTTGCATAGCAGTGGTGGTGGTGATCCAGTGAGAGATAGAAATGAAAAATTACTCTTACTGTAATTGTTTTTTGTAAGTCTGGCTGTATGCGTGCTGGCTAATTTATTTGAATACATATATTAGGTAGTAGGTTGGTAGACAGCAACTGCCCAGGGAGGTACTACCATCCTGCCAAGTGAGTGTAAAACGAAAACCTGTAATTGTTTTACGTGATGGTAGGATTGCTGGTGTCCTTTTTTCTGTCTCATGAACATGCAAGATTTCAGGTACATCTTGCTACTTCTACTTACACTTAGGTCACACTTCACATACATGTACAAGCATATATATACATACCCCTCTGGGTTTTCTTCTATTTTCTTTCTAGTTCTTGTTTATTTTCTCTTATCTCCATGGGAAAGTGGAACAGAATTCTTCCTCCGTAAGCCATGCATGTCATAAGAGGCGACTAAATTGCCGGGAGCAAGGGGCTAGTGACCCCTTCTCCTGTATAAATTACTAAATTTGAAAAGAGAAGCTTTTGTTTTTCTTTTTGGGCCACCCTGCCTTGGTGGGATACGGCCAGTTTGTTGAAAGAAAAGAAAGAACATATATTAATTCATATACAATTTTAGTGATGAGATAACAGAACATATTTGTATAAATGGTTCAAGTAGAGTGGGTATCAGTCATTGCATTAACATAAAGCATAATTAAAATACAATTAAATTAAGTACTGTCTATGTAAAAATCATAAATACGTATACCTAAAGTAGGACTCACACTTTGGGAAATTAAATTGTTGCCTGATATCCATTTGTTCTACTCAGGTTATGTTGTAGCAGAGATAGTGTATATATGTATATATACTGTATCCTGAATACCCTAATTCTTTTGGAGTTGTCATTTATAAACAGCATTATTGTTTCATCCTTAGTCTCATTATAAAAGCATATTAGAAATATTGGGCACCTTTAAAAATAGATTAGTCAAATATATGAGTGAGAATGGGTGGGTATAAGTAGGATTTGCCTGTTATGGGCCAGTAGGCCTACTTAATTCTTAGGTTTGTATATTTATATAATATTAATTGCATATTTTGTTTTATCAGGAAATAACAACAATGCTGGATGATTCCACTATGCCACGCATCAGTGAATACTCCTCTGCTAGTAATTCTCCATCACACAAGGTTACAGCTGAGGAATTTGAAGCTATTGCATATAAAATTGAGGCTGAATACAGAAGAAAATTAATGATGGATGAACCCAAAGATAAAGATAAGAAGGCTCATAAAAAGAAGAAGAGAAAGAATGGAAATGGAGCAGATGGAGAAGAAGAACCAAAGAAGAAAAAGTTGAAAAAGGAGAAGAAACCAGAAAATGATAAGGATAGTCTAGACAATACTAAAGAACTGTTTAAAGATATTAAAGATGGAAGAATAAAGCCAGGGGCTATTATCAAATCGAAAGATATTGCCAAGAAAGAGGGTGTTGTTAAAAAGGAAACCAAAAGCTCTTCAGAGGGTAAGCCAAAAGCAAAGACCAACCCTTTTGGTAAGATCAACAAGCAAGAGCATTCAAAGTTGACAACACTCATAGCTAAAGCCAAAGAGTCACGTATTGGGTTAGTACCAAATAGTGAAGTAGGGGATAGCCCCAAACTTAGTCTAGGCAGTATTATTCTCTCTGGAGACATCGGCACAGGGATAAAATCATCGCATGAACCTAACAGCACAGATGAAGAAGAAAAATGTGAACCAAAAGAGAAGTGGGATAGCCCATGGGAGAATAGATGGGAAAAAGTGCCAGAAAAGGAGGAAGCTCCATCTGTAAGGTCAGTAAGAGAGGAAGAAGAGAAGGAAGAGATCCCAGAGGTAGAAGAGCTTACAGAAAGGATAAGTGAAGAACCACCTCCAACTCCCAGAGCTCCAGAAATAAAGCAAGAGCGAGCAACACCTAATTTAAGTGCTTGGTTTAAAGCCTTTGGCACTCCCAAACTCTCTTCTGCAGGTCCAAAGAAAATGCCAGATGAGCAGATGGATAGTCCAAAGGAGTTAGATGAGAATGAAGTTATTAATGTTGATGATGAAGATGAAGTGGAAGAAGCCGAGCCAAGTACATTAGATGAACCGCCACCATCATTACTACCACCTGCAAGTCCTGAGCCTCCAGTTTCTCCAGAACCTCCAATCTCTCCTGAGAAACCACCTGAGACTCCATGGTATGAAAAATTAGATGAAAAATTAGAAGACGAACCTATCTGGAAAAAAATGAAGGTATGGGCCTTTTATTTATGTAAATGACATTAATTAAGACACACATACACAAGAACTAGAGCTACAGCTGACCTCTGCAAACTCAAATAAATAATTAAACATTTACATGAGAATTGGTTAGAAGAGAAGGTAGCAAGTGCTATACCCAATGGAGCTTTTAAAAAATTTATATGATAGGTTAGATAATGAAGATAAAACAGAAGTTTAGCTCTACTATAGTAGCTACAATTTTTTTTTTAACATGTTGGCCATCTCCCTCTGAGGTAGGGTGACCCAAAAAGGAAACACTTTCACCATTATTCACACTATCACTGTCTTCCAGAAGCATGCAGATTATGAAAGCTTAGATATCCTCTTAAACAGCAGATATTGCAAACCCCTCCTTTACAGTGCAGGCACTGTACTTCACACCTCCAGGACTTAAATCCAGCTAATTGGTTTCCCTGAATCCCTTTACAAAATATTACCATGCTCACACTCCAACAGCTTGTTGGTCCCAAAAACCAGTTGTCTTGACTCGCTCCTATTTAACATGCTCACACGTGCCTGCTGAAACGAGAAGAGGGCATACTGTAGTTGTAAACTACACACCCAAAGGAGTCAAAGAGCTATACAAAAAACATTTCTTTAACATATGATTGGTAATGATGTAGAACGGACTAAATACAGTAGAAGCATAACAGTACAGTAGCAGCATATTCCATACATGGGTTTTAAAACAAGCATGATTGCTGTTTCACACCAGTCCATTGAAGTTAAAGGAGGGATTAAGAGTGAGAGCTCACAACCTCAGATAGGTTACCACCCACCCAACCCCACACTCACTTGAAAGTTTTTCCACAAATTAAGTGATGGAACAATGGAAATGGTTAGAAGAGGAAGTAGTAGGTTGTACAACCAATGGAAATTAAAAAAAAATATATTAGATAAAATACTGAACATGGAAGACCATAGGCTTAGCTCTGCTCCTTCAGTTAGAAATAGGTAATTACACATGCACACATATACAGTGGAACCCTGGTTTTCATCTGGTCCGGTTATTGTACAGTTCAGTTTTCGACCACTTTTTTGGGCGAAATTTTCCCCGTTTTCGTACATCCGCTCAGAAATCGTTGATACCAGACGTGTTTGCCTGCCCACGGGACGCGGCCGCTCATACATTCGTGACTCAGTCTGCCATTGTTACTCGTACAGTGAGCATTACTCCACACGTTCATCCAAAACATTTCGTAATAATCCATTGTTTTTTGTGCTTGCAACTGCTAAATAAGCTATCATGGAGTCAAAGAAAGTTCAGAGTGCCAGCCCTTTGGTAAAGAAGGTGAGAAACATGATAGAATTGAAGAAAGAACTCATAGAAAGTGGCATATGTGTGGCCGAGCTTGTCAGGATGTATGGTAAGTCCAAATCAACGATCAGTTCCATCCTGGTGAAGAAAAAAGAAATCAAGGAAGCTGATGTTGCAAATGGGGTAAACGTGCTAACGAAACAGAGATCGCAAACAATCGAAGATGTTGAGAAGTTGTTGGTGTGGATCAACGAAAAACAGTTAGCGGGAGATAGTGTTGTGGAGGCGATAATTTGCGAAAAGGCAAGGCAGTTGCATGTGGATCTTGTAAAGAAAATGCCTAGAACGAGTGCTGCTGTTAGTGAATTCAAGAAACGAAGTGGTATACACAGTGTGTTAAGGTATGGTGAGGCTGCAAACATGCGGTCGAAGAATTTGTTGATGAATTCAAGGAGTACATAGAGGCTGAAGGATTCCTTCCCCAACAAGTCTTCATTTGTGATGAAAGAAGGCCTCTTTTGGAAGAAAATGCCAAAGAGGACCTACATCGTGCAGGAGGAAAAGGCACTGCCAGGACAAGCCTATGAAGGATAGGCTAACTCTTATTCTGTGGTAATGCTAGTGGGGATTTCATTGAATCCTTTACCAGTGTATCACTCTGAAAATCCCAGAATGTTAAAAAAAAACGTCATCAAGAATAAATTGTGTGTGATGTATAAGGCTAACAAAAAGGCATGGGTCACAAGCTAATTTTCATTGAGTGGGTCAATGAAGTGTTTGGCCCGAGTGTGAAGAAATACCTCCTGGAAAATAAATTGCCACTCAAGTGCCTCCTGGTAATGGACAATGCTTCTGCTCATCCTCCAGACTTGGAAGGCCAATTGTTGGAGGAGTTTAGTTTCATCACAGTGAAGTTCTTGTCCCCTAATACCACTCCTCTCATCCAGCCCATGGACCAGTAGGTCATTTCAAACTTCAAAAAAACTCTACACCAAAGCAATGTTTCAAAGGTGCTTTGAAGTGACCTCAGACACTGAATTGACCCTAAGAGAGTTCTGGAAGAATAACTTCAGTATCCTCAACTGCATAAGCCTTATAGAAAAGGCTTGGCAGGGAGTGACTTCCAGGACGATTAACCCTTCTTGGAGAAAATTGTGGCCAGAATGTGTCCTCCAGAAGGATTTTGAAGGGTTTGAGGCTGACCCTGATGACCCAATGCCTGTTGTGGAATCTATTGTGTCTTTGGGGAAGTTCATGGGGTTGGAGATGAGTGGCCAGGATATGGAAGGGTTGGTGGACAACCACAGGGAAGAGCTAACCACTGAAGAGCTGCAAGACTTTCATTAGGAGCAGCAACAGACCTTATCTGAGGAAATTGCTTCAGAGGAGGAGGAAAAGAGAGGGGAGAATGTGACTTCTTAAGCAGTTAAGGACATTTGTGCAAAGTAGAGTGAGGTGCAAAATTTTGTGGAGAAATATCACCCTAACAAAGCTGTTGCAAGCCTTGTCGGCAACATGTTCAATGACAATGCCGTGTCCCATTTTAGGCAAATCTTAAAGAGATGCCAGAAACAGGCTTCTCTGGACAGATTTTTGTGTGACAGGGCTCCAGTGACTCTCAAGCTGGTCCTAGTGCCAGTAAAAGATGAAGAAGGGAAGTAACCCTGGATGGAGCTTTGATACCTGAAGTCCTTATGGAGGGGGATTCCCCTTCCAAACAATAAGCTCTCCTTCCTTTCCCCTTCTCACCGTCTTCCATACGCCAACAATTCTCTTCAGTAAAGGTATAAGTGATTTAAATGTTCATTTATCCATTAAAATTAGTGCTTTATATTTACAGTGGACCCTCGACTAACGCTATTAATCCGTTCCTGAGAGCTCATTGTTAGTCAGAATAATCGTTAGTCAAGTTAATTTTCCCCATAAGAAATAATGGAAATCAAATTAATCCGTGCAAGACACCCAAAAGTATTGAAAAAAAAATTTTTAACACATGAAATATTAATTTTAATACACACAAACTGAAGAAGACATGCACAGTTACATGACACTTACCTTTATTGAAGATCTGGTGATGATTGATGGGATGGGAAGAGGGGAGTGTGTTGATGGTCTTAGTGTTTAGGAGGGGAATCCCCTTCCATTAGGACTTGAGGTGGCAAGTCCTTTTTCGGGGTTACTTCCCTTCTTCTTTTAATGTCACTAGGACCAGCTTGAGAGTCACTGGACCTCTGTCGCACAACATATCTGCCCATAGGCCTGTACCTCCCGTTCCTTTATGACATTCCTAAAGTGTTTCACAACATTGTCAGTGTCACCATTAAACACTTGTTCAGGTTTCAGTCCTTCACTGTCTATGTACTCCTTGAATTCCTGCACATATTTTTCAGCTGCTTTTTGGTCCAAACTGGCAGCCTCACCATGCCTTATCACACTATGTATGCCACTATGATTCTTCAATCTCTCAAACCAACCTTTGCTGGCCTTAAATTCACTCACATCACCACTAGTTGCTGGCATTTTTCTAATTAAATCGTCATGCAACTTCCTAGCCTTTTCACATATGATCGCTTGAGAGATGCTATCTCCTGCTATCTGTTTTTCGTTTATCCATACCAATAACAGTCTCTCAACATCTTCTATCACTTGCGATCTCAGTTTTGAAAACATAGTTGCACCTTTGGCAAGAACAGCTTCCTTGATTGCTGTTTTCTTGGCCACAATAGTAGCGATGGTTGATTGGGGTTTTGTGTACAGCCTGACCAGCTCGGAGACATGCACTCCACTTTCATACTTAGCAATGATCTCTTCCTTCATATCCATAGTAATTCTCACCCTTTTTGCTGTAGGGTTGGCACTAGAAGCTTTCTTGGGGCCCATGGTGACTTATTTTGCAGGTGCAATCACTAAAAAGGCTGTGATAATATGAAATGTTCCGATTGTATGCTTGGAAGCGACCGCGGTGGCTGGCTGGCTTGTAAACCTGGCCAGAAGTGGACGCGTCTCAGATGGAACGAATAGTGTTGGTCGAGTTTTTTTAGCGCTAATCGAGGCAAAATTTTTGCGATAAAATGTATCGCTAGTCAGATTTATCGTTAATCGATGCCATCTCTGGTCGAGGGTCCACTGTATTTCTCATTGTTTTCTGTATGTAAAACTATAGTTATTCTCTATAAAATGTATTTTTATATTTTTGGGTTTCTGGAACAGATTAATTGGATTTACATTGTAACTTATGGGAAATATTACTTCAATTTTTGTACAAATCGGTTTTCGGCCGACCTTCTGCAATGGACTAAAGACGAAAACCAGGGTTCCACTGTACTTTGAATGCGAACACTCACAATGTGTCATTTAACTCTTTTATCAACTGTTAGTCTTAGTATTTTCTATGTTGTCAACTTAACTCATTCTTTAGAACCTGACCTGAATGTGATCTTTACATTTATAAACATTTACATATTCTCTTCAGTATTAGATAATTGAATTTTTGTATTTACCTTGACCAACATTCTCTTAATAATTACTTTTGACAATTTTGAGTCCTCAGAATAAAATTGTTGTTGTGAAAAAAGGCAGTTGAAATACATGGTGCTACTTCATGTTCCCTGCAGAGCTGGCCTTCTTGACCACACTTTAGGCATTGTGATCAGTAGTAAATACATAAAAATTATTTCTTCATCAAACTTTTTGAATTTTGGAAAAAATAATCCTTCAGTGCATTAAATATTTTTTACTTATTTTAAAATTGTCCTGCTTGAATAAATTGTCTTGAATCATAGTGACTGTCCTATAATAATTATATTGATATACGATTCCCATGTTTTTTATTACATACAACTACATTTAAATTTCTCATTTTCACTAGATGGAAGATCAAGAATATGCAATTCGGGACTGCAGTATGGTAAGATTTTTTTTCATTATAACCATTATTTTCTCTACAACTAAAGTTTAATATTTCCTAATGATCTGTTTACTAAAATGAATTGGACTGTTATTTTGCTGAAAAACAGTGGTTACTAGATAATGAATATCATATATAATATGAAAGACAAGTTTGTTCTGTTCCTTGCATTCTTAATTAAAGACCAAGGGTGACCTAGCATTGGTAATAAATATCAAAGATAAATCTTTTATACTGCTTTACAAGGAAGTGATTGTTCAGTTCATTTGGCACTGCATTTTAGTATGTTTGGCATGTAAGAGTTGTAAGAGGCAAATAAAATGACAGGAGCAAGGGGTTAGTAACCCCTTCTCATGTATAAATTAGTACATATAAAAAGAATTGGGGTTGGCAGAGAGTGTATATAGTTCCTTTATATAAAGGGAAGGAGGACAAAAGAGATTGTAAAAATTATAGGGGAATAACTTTACTGAGTATACCAGGTAAAGTGTATGGAAGGGTTATTATTGAAAGAATTAGAGGTAAGACAGAGAGCAGGATTACAGATGAACAAGGAGGCTTTGGAATGGATAAGGGATGTGTAGATCAAGCATTTACATTGAAGCACATATGTGAACAGTATTTAAATAAAGGTAGGGAAGTTTTCATTGCATATATGGATTTAGAAAAGGCATATGATAGGGTGGATAGGGGAGCAATGTGACAGATGTTGCAAGTGCATGGAATAGGTACAGTGGACCCCTGGATTAAGTCGTCATCGGAATAAGTAATATTCAGAATAAGTAGCGTTTTTTCGTCAAAATATTGGCTCGGTGAATGTCACTGAACTCGGTATAAGTCATTTGTCCAGAACGTGTCCGCACAGCCGACACTCCATGTACAGCCAGTGTGCCATTGTTTACCAGCCAGTGAGGACAATCCCACGTGTTCATACGATATATTTTGTATTATTCCATTCTTTTTAGTGCTTGTAACTGCTAAATAAGCCACCATGGGCCCCAGGAAAGCATCTAGTGCCAGCCAGCCCTTTGGTAAAGGGCTGAGAGAGAGGGGAGAATGTGCCTTTTTCAGTGATTCTGCAATATGTACGATACTAAAGCAGCAGGAATCGATAAAGGCTATAGCTCCAGCCAGCGATAAAGTGCAGCATTAACAGTGTAGCAAGTTAAGCGATTAATCAATAGAAAAAGGACAGCACGAAACTCCTCCATTGTTGTTGGAGGACTAACACCACTGCCTCTGCTGCCACTTTCACCACCACCATGTAAGGCTAATCTTTCAGTGGCCCTTATACACCCAACAACAAACAACGCACCACCACTCGTGACATTCTTAATGCCATATTTTATTCATTCTAGAGTATATATCATGTTTCTGTGTTGTTAATATTGTTTAATATGTCATATTAAATGTATTGTGCTAGATAAATAAGCCGTAGAGCTTATATTAGTGTCATATTGAAGGAGTATCTCGTCCTGTCTCCCAACACAATTCCTAACATACGCCAGGAACAGACCTCTCTGGAATACTTTTTTGAGCGACAGGGGTCCAGTGACTCTCAAGCTGGTCCTAGTGACATTAAAAAACAAAGAAGGGACGTAACCCAGGATAACAACTTGGTACCTGAAATCTTTATGGAAGGGGATTCCCTTTACAAACAGTTGTAAACTCCCCCATCCTCTCCCCTCCTTCCATCTTCCATACATCACCTTGTCTTCAATAAAGGTAAGTGTGATGTTATTGTTTTATTCTTCATGTATCATTGTTTTCTGTGTAGGCAAATGTATATTTCATATAGAATTTTTTTTTTTAGTACTTTTGGGTGTCTGAAACAGATTAATTGGATTTCCATTATTTCTCATGTGGAAAATTAATTCGGAATGTCAGATTCGGGATAAGTCACTCTCTCTGGAATGGATTAATTACGTAATTCGGGGCTCCACTGTACTAACTAAATGCTGTAAAGAGTTTTTATGAGGGTGTGTAGGAGAGAGGGAGATTACTTTCCAGTAAATGTAGGTCCTAGACAGGGATGTGTTATGTCACCATGGTTGTCTAACATATCTATAGATGGGGTCGTAAAAGGTACTGTGTTTTTTGGGAGATTCTAAAGAAAAGTTACAAAGATTAGTGGATGAGTTTCGGAGAGTGTGTAAAGGAAGAAAGTCAAAAGTGAACATAGATAAGAGTAAGGTGATGAGGGTATCAAATGATTTAGATAAAGAAAAATTGCATATCACATTGGAGGAAGGGAGTATGGAAGAAGTGAATATGTTCAGATATTTGGGAGTTGACTTGTCAGCAAATGGGTTTACGAAGGATGAGTTTAACCATAGAGTTGATGAAGAAAAAAAGGTGAGTGGTGCTTTGAGGTATCTGTGGGGCCAAAAAAAAAATGATATCCATTGAGGCAAAGAAAGGAATGTGCAAGAGTGTTGTGGTACCAACATTCTTATATGGGTGTGAAGCATGGGTTGTAAATGCTGCAGCAAGGGGGAGGCTGGAGGCATTGGAGATGTTATGTCTAAGGGCAATGTGTGGTGTAAATATTATGCAGAGAATTCATAGTTTGGAAATTATGAGGAAGTGTGGGGTTACTAAAAGTATTAGTCAGAGGGGTTGTTGAGGTGGTTTAGTCATTTAGATAGGATGGAACAAAGTAGAATGACTCGGAGAACGTATAAATCTGTAAGGGAAGGAAGGTGGGATAGGGGTTGTCCTAGGAAAGGTTAGAGGGAGGAAGTAAAGAAGATTTTGTGGGAGAGGGGCTTGGAGTTCCAGCAAGCATGCATGAGCATGTTAAATAGGAGTGAATGGAGACGAATGGTTTTTGGGACCCGACGAACTGTTGGAGTATGAGCAGGGTAATATTTTGTGAAGGGATTCAGGGAAACTGGTTAGCCAGACTTGAGTCCTGGAGGTGGTAAGTACAATGCCTGCACTTTAAAGGAGGGGTTTGGGATATTGGCTGTTTGGAGTGACATCTAAACTGTCGTAATTGAACGCCTCTGCAGAGACAATGATTATGTATGAGTGATGGTGAAAGTGTTGAATGATGAAAGTTTTTTCTTGGTCATCCTGCCTTGCTGGGAAATGGTTGATGTGTTAAAAAAAAATGCAATTTAATCTAATTTTTTTATAATCCGTTCCATGACCTTGCTCGCAACTGGATTTGCTCGTTTGCAGAGTCAATTTTCCTCATTTAAATTAATTGAAATGCAATTAGTCCATTCCAGTGGAATTCTGTACTTCAATAATTTCGCTAATATCAACTCTACGGCTTATTTATCTATCTCACTTCATCTAATATGACATAATAAACAATATGAATGACATAGAAACATGATATATACTCTATAATGAATAAAATATATAATTCATGTAGTGGTATGGGCGGTGTCGGCGGCGGACGAGAGTTTGTCTGGAGACCTGACAAAATACATCTTGAATAATTTTGCTAATATCATCTATACGGCTTATTTATCTATCACAGTTCATCTAATATGAAATAATAAACAACATAGAAACTTGATATATACCCTAGAATGAATAAAATACGTCATTATCTAACAGGTGGAGGCAGCCACAACCGCTCCCTCTATGTTGTGGTAAACACTGCCATCTAGTGACGGCCTTTTGAAGCCGTCTATTATAATTATTATTATATATGTATTATTATTATACGTATATTATTATTATTATTGTATTATATTATTATACGTACTATTATTATTATATGTATTATTATTATACATATTATTATTATCATTATTATTATTACAATGTAAATAATTTGTAATTTTTATTCACACAAAAAATATAAGATTTACTGTTATGCCTTATTGCAATAATTGTATAAATAATGTCAACCCATTCACTACTGCATATTGGAATGGACAGTGACGTCATATGTTTACTCTTGAACATAGCCAAGCAATGAAACATTTCTCCTACGTTGAGCTCAATTTCAAGGTACTTTTTGTCGTGAAAGCAATCAAAATCATATCTATTTCTGTAATATATCTTCCATTCTATCAAATGAGACGAAAAAAATGAGAATACAACCATAAAAAACCGTACGAAAGTACAGCTAAAGGGTGGCTAATTGCCGAGAATTGAACTCCATTATTTATGGTCCGATTTCTTTCATTTTTGGTGTAAGCCAAGAAACATCTTTCTTTCTTTCTTTCTTTGTTGGGTTTATCAGGGCCACTGACAGCATACGCCCTATCAAGCCCAGTCTCTCGATGGGACGAGAAAAAATTGTTGCCCAAGGCTGGGCGATGAGAGAAAAGGAACAAAAGTTCCTTTGTAAATGGAAATAGAAACTCGAAGTTTCCAATTAGATCTGGTGGACCCCCTTGCCAAGCCCCAGCAGAGAGGGACGCCCACACTCCCACCTGAGTTCAGTAACTGGCTTCCCACCAAAGACCGTTAAAGAATTTTCCGCAGAGCAGAAAAAAAAAATGGAGCTGGCTAAAGTAAGCCGATGAACAGGTGCCCTCCTGTAGAGTGCCCGGTGGGCAGAATAGATGAGGACAAGCGTCCCAGAGAGAACGGAGGGAAATTTGTCACCGATACTAAGGCGAGAGGGAGACGTCCACACCCGACGAAGGCTGACACAGAAGTCTAAGAAACATCTTTCCATCATATATTGCCCAAGTTTCAATAAGAGAGTCCAACAAACAAATGAGATACAATTCCCTAGATCAAGAGCAAGAGCCCCTCACCAGCGTCAAGGAACCTGCCTTGAGGTCTGCTCGCTTATGAAAATTTTGCTCACGTATGGAAGCAAAAAATCAACTCATCGACTGCTCGTATTTGGAAAAACTCGCACATGGATGCACTCGCAAGTAGAGGTTCCACTCTATATATACAGTGGACCCCCGCATAGCGACTTTAATCTGTGCAAGAGGGCTCATTGTTATGCGAAATGATCTGTATGCGAATGAATTTTCCCCATAAGAAATAATGGAAATCAAATTAATCCGTGCAAGACA